TCCTTCTGCTCCTGCCACTGCTGTGCTGCTCCAGGTCGGGGGGAAGTTTCAGCCGGATGGTTCCCACTAGAGGAACAGCCCCGCTGGAAGCTGCGTGTGCTGGTTTGGGCTCGAGTGGAAGTGGGTGGGGCTTGGCCCCATGTGGAGCACCATGAGGGCAGCTGCAGGCCATATCCAGTCAGTTGGTGGGCTATATCTGGCCCACAGGCAGTATTTTGTCCACCCTTGACTTATAGCATTTAACTACTGAAAATTACAATAGGAAGACTTTAAGATAGATTTTTTTCTTACTTGCCCTGGTGTGAAGAATAACTTCACAGAGGGTACATCTACATGTACCCACTTTATTGTGGAGTAGATTAATTAGCTCCGCAGTAAAGCATCACTGTGTATACTTGCATTGGTATGAGAACACAGTAAACTAATGAACTCTGCCATAAGATAGTACTTGGGAACGCTACTATCTTATGGCAGAGTAAGTAACTGCACTGAAACGCACATGTAAGTGGTGACAGAGGCTGGCTGGAGCGTGAGGATGCTAGAGTGCGGTGGCTGCTTGCTGCCTAGCCACACGGCTCCACACTTCAGCAAACTTGTGCCCCTCTGCCACCTTCCACTACCACTCAGAGCCCAGGGCTGGCCCCCCATGTCCCCTGCCAGACCAGGGCCACTGTACCCCATCCCAAATTGCTGTTGTCCCAGGCACACATGTAGACACTGCACCTGAGAGCAGTTTTCTTTGGCTCAAAGTGCTCCACAGCCTATTGTGTTGCCTTAATTGCACCCAGAAGGGACTTGTATATATGCATGGATGAAGAAAGTAGTGATTCATATCCTGTTCTCTGCTGCAACCCTCAAGGCATATTCTCTTGAGGCCAATAACTGAGTGGGAGAAAAAATGAAAGGTGCAAGCAAGGAAGGAAGGACATACGTTAAGATATGTTTTGAATAGGAGTGGGGCATCATTTAGACAGAGGCCGTGTCCAGATGAGTGCAGACATTTGGTTCCCTGGAGACAAGAAGCAGTGGCACACCTTCTGCTGCTGATACTTGTCCCTGGGGAATGCCCATGCCACACACCCTCTAGTGTGCAGCAGGTTATCCAGGGTGGGGTAGAGGAGGCTGGAGCCAGAACTGTGCTGGCCCCAGCAGCCTTACCTGGGGTCCTGGGAGCTAGGAAAGCTGCAGCCGTGGTGCTTATGCAGTTGGAAGCCTGTCCAGAAGCTGGAGCATGGCTCCTGCGGGCCAGGCTCTGGTTTGGGGCTGCGTGCACTGCTGCCATGTGCTCTGCCCTGCCTTTTTTCTGCATGGTTTTTTTTGACCTCGGAATATCCCAGGGTGAAAAAAAACAACCCCTTCACTACAAGGTACCTGCCCAGGAAATGCCTGAATGTGCGGTGTGTGGCGCCACAGATGGGTCTGCGATACCACATATCACATGGCTTGTGGTGGTGCTTGTCTGGATGTGGCCAGAGATATTAGAAGTCCAGGTCAGATTGCAGGAGTTGAAGAGAAGAAGGCTCTGGCATCCGTAGTGGTGACATTTTGGGAAAGGATTGAAAAGAGACTGGGGCAGACAGAATAGAAAGAGGGGTGGGTGACACTTTTGTGAAACAATATGGCAAGAGGCCATAAGAGTTTCTAAAAGCAAGTAGGGCAGTTTGTACCTAGATCCTGAATGTGCCAGGAAACACACTTATATTGTCATATATTTATATCTTTTGATTAGATTAGATGTAGATACATGGATGGATAGATAAATATGCATATGTGTTGGAATGAAAGAATGTGAAAGAATCTGTGTGGGAACTAAATCTGTTAGTTGGCCTAGCTCTGAAATTATCAGAAACAAGCATGATTATATGTCCGAAAGCATGATAACAAAGCATGGTTGAAGGTTTTATATTTCATTACATGCTGACTAATAAAATATTTTTTCCCAACTGAAACAGAGAGAAGTTGCTTTTGCGGATGTGTTGTATCAGAACCAGCTGCAGAATTCTGAGTTTAGTACTTAAATCAAAACTCCCTATGTGGCCCTTGGGCCCAAATTAATTATGGAGTAGATATTGAGAATGGATACTGAGATTTTGGTTTAAATAAAAATAAAACATGCAAAGTTGCAGGAAATATTGAATTTAAAATCTAAGAAGAATATGTGTCTTATTAAAAAAGAGAGAACTATAGGGACATTATGGAGAAAATTAATAGGAAACATTACCTGTTTAAGAATTAAATCTGCAGCAAATGGCATGAATGCAGGAAGAGTTGGGGCTTGCTTCCAATACTGTTAATATTTTACAATAGCATAACACCATTGGTTTTAATAGTTAACCCTTTCTTTTTTAAACTAGGCTAAATCTGATCAGAAACAAATCCCACATACTACATAATATGTGCTAATTTTATATTTGTGCACAGTTTAAACATTTCTGTTTCTCAAAATGTTATGCATCTTGCAGCAGGTACATATGTATAAAATATGCATTTCAAATAAAATATGCATTTCCTTTATTTATTTTGTTGATGCTAGACCGCCAGTAAACAGAACTAGTTTGAAACCGTTTCACACAGTCTGAGCAAACAGCAATTTGCAGTGAGATGCTATACAGTTCTCTTTTGCTAACTGACATGATACACTAGGTCTTCATCAGAGGAATGGTGAATAAAAGAAGATTTATGTTCAAATCACATGCTTTAAATATTTCTGCTAAGTGCTAGTTTGCTCTTTGGTGTTAGCCTGAAATTTAAAGCACCGAGGATTAAAAGGATTACAACATAATCTTAAATAATCCTAAGTGTCATTTACAGAGAGATGGTTGTAATAACTAAATAAAACCATGTTAAGGGATGGCAGTGTTGTCAGTCAGCAACTGGAAAAGACATAGCATGTATGTCACACTGTCATTCTCCTCTCTCCCCTTCATTTTGTCAAATTTTACATTGGAGAGGTACATCTTGATGAAAGTTACAGCTGAAGAAAATAATAACGTGATGGAGTGCTTTGCAGTCCGCACTAATACGGTTACTGAAGCATTAGTAACTAGATTAGTTTTAAAATGTTGTCTGTGCTCAGTGTGGAAAACTTTCCAGACAGGGTTTTCTCTTGCTTTGCTCATGTTCGTTCTCATGTATAAATCAAACAGCCCTTTCTGAATTTAACATTCTAGCAAGACAGTGCAGAGGAAATTGCAGAGTTCATTCAACTTTTAGCTCCCCTGTGCTAAGACATCGTAACACAAACTCTTACAGTAATATTTGTTTCCTTTCAGTTGTTTAGGAGCTTTTTATTGTACGATTAAAAAATACAACCCCCACCCAAGTAAGTAAATTCCAGCACATGGAAGCTCACAATGTAGCATATGCATTGATTATTATGCAGCCTTATTCCCTTAGTAACTTAGTCCATTTAACAAACACATTATTTTATTACACTGGTGTTTCTGTTCATCTGCCGAGATCATTTTTTGTTTATGTATAAAGGTTTCATAAACAAAAATTATAGAGACTGGCTCTTGCCA